GGGTAGAGTGTCTACAAGTTGTAGCAGTGAGGGAGAGGAAAGGTCAAATTGGGCAACAAAAGGAACAAAAGCGAGAGTTGGGGGGATGAGAGACAAGCGATAAATCGGGATGGATGCGAACGAAAAGGATCAGAAATGGATGAACGAAAGAAACTTGAGATGAGGTGGGAGGGAGTAGATGGAAGGGGCTGACGGGAGAGAATGCCGCAGGTGGACAAGGACAGCTTCATTGCCTCCAAAGAGCCCGCGGGCAGTCCCTCGGCCTTGTTCGAGAAGCACATGTGCGGGGGAAGAGACTACGATACATTGCTGAACGACTTCGACGCGGACATGTTTGCGGTGAGGAGGGAGAGTGTGAGTCAGAGGGACTCACAGGGGAGGGACTGACAGGGAGGGGGCAGGGGGCGACGATCTTGGGGATGCAGAAGTCGAAGCAAGGGATGCAGCTGCTGGAGGCGCTGGGGAGGGATTTGGAGCAAATGTTCCAGCCATTGGTGGAGCATGCGGAGAAGATCCTAGAAGAGAAGGCGCGAGAGAGGGCGTGACGTGCCCGCAACCGTGACACTCTAAGAACTTCCGAAGACACTCCAAGGCTCCAGGCATGGTCATCCGACTCTTGAAGGCATGATTTTTAACTTAACTTTGAGTAAAGTCTTGAAGGCACTGCGCGGCCCGGAGAGGCTCCGTGACTCACTAGGCTCAGAGCATCCGGCCCGGGCCCGGGAGCGCGTGTCGGAGGGCGCGGCGGGCCGCCGAATGATCGGACCGTACATGGCAGTGCAGTGGGCCTCGAAACGGCCGGTTCAAGATCAACGGATGAAAACGGTTTTAATGTAACGGGCATTTGAAGTTCCTACCACATCGGCCCCTACCCCGCCATCTCCCATTTACTACCCACCCTCATTACACGAATTCGGTGCTGCATCTTACTCCTAGGCCCTAAGGTCCTAGGATTGCTTAGAGGGTCCGATATCGACAGACGGTCTCCCTACCCATGGAATCAGAATAGGGGGGTCCTATCCCATCAAAGTACCGGTACTTCTAACACCCCCACCCAATTCAAAGTACCCCCCTGTTTAGCTGCCATTCCCTCTGGCGCCCTCCTCAACATGGCGGCGAAGGTTCGAAATGCTGAAATGGACAAGTGGAAATGTTGCGCCGCCGCACTGCCGACATGCTCGTGTCCAGCCTCTCTTATGCTCCTCTCCTCTCCGATTCCTCCCTCGTATCTTCCACTCTGCATGATCTGTCCTCCTATGCCCCCTTGCCACCTGATAAGAATGTCCTGTATTGGTGCGATGGCAGGGTCGATGTCGCCCTTGTCAGCAAGTGTTCCTTATTTCCATCCCTGTCTTCTTCTTCATGTCTTCTTTCTTCCATCGTCTCTGCTCCTGTGCTTGATTTCAACCTGCCATGTGCGTCTGGGACAACTGCTTTTCACCCCGTGTCGGGCACTAAGGCTTTTGTCCTATATGTCACCCATATGTTCGGAAAAGATCTATTTGTCTCATCAGAATCTTTCTAACGAGCATTTCTTTTTCATCAATGTGCATCGTCTCTCAAGTTGCCTTATGTGTTTCTCCTTTCGCCAAGTTTGTGTTTGTGTTGCAAATGCTGCGGATGTCCAGCTTGATCCTAGGGTACAAGAATTGGCGCTAGAAAAATATCTGTAAATGTTGTCTTTTCCATGTCACCATGCTTCTCTTTTCAAAGATATGATTATCCAGAAATCATCTGACTGATATCAGCTTTCTGCTTCCTTTCATCTTTGACTGGTTGTTTGAAGAATTCAACGGACACAGCGGCCTTTACAGCGCTATTGAATGAGCTTCGTGGACCCCTGACCGGAGTTGCAGCTGTAAGTCGATCTCATTATTATCATTTCTATTGTTTGCGTTTCTTGGTGTTGAATTCAATCTTGTGATCATCTTTCTTTGCCCGACAGACCTTGAGCAAGTCCGGATCGCAAGGTAAATATGAACTTTCGCTAGCTTCTTCTGCTGTTTACCACGATTTATCTTGTTGTGGGAGTGGACATGTTCTCTTGTTGTGGGAGAGAACACGTTGTAATAACAAGAGAACATATTCTTTTTGTGATTGGACAGTGATTTTCTGGCCTCCTAACTGTCCTGTAGGGGTCAAGGGTTTCAACGAAGAGGACTTGAGAAAGCTCAACTTCAAGGAACTAGCCGATCGCTTCGAGCACTTGTCGCAAGTGACTTTTTAAGGAGCGCAATGATACGTTTCCTCACGGTACTTCAGGTTTTGCCTGATGCCCTGAGATGCGTGCAAGAAGTGAAGCAACTTCAGGGCACAGTGCAGGTCAGCTACCATTGGCTCGGCTACTTGTACTGACGATTCCAACAGGAAAGGCTCACTGTGCTTGAGGGCAGGCAACAGAGCGAAGAATCTTGTAGGAGGAGACGTTCTGATGATTCATGAATGATGAAGCTTGAAACAGATTTGCAATCTCTGCATGAATTACAAGAGGCGATCATTTCACAGAGCTCTACTCTTCAGGAATCACAAACCATGTCAACATAAAGCATCTCATCCATCTTGTGCAGGATGACATCAAAGATCGCATGGCTCAGCTTAGGCAAGTTATCGACGATCGCGAAATGTATCTCCTATCTAAGGTTGGTTTGTGACTCTCTTCGAGCAAGAATTTGCGTGAATTGTTCCGATCAGGTCAAGGAAGTAGAACATGAAAAACTCACAACCATCGAACGACAGGTGCTGCCTGGACAATGTCCTATCTTAGCTCTGTTGTTGATCATTCGTCTCGAAGAGGGAACAATGCCTATCAGTGCTGGAGAATATGCGAGCAGCTTCTCGTCAGGCCCATGCCGGTTCGATCAACGTCCATGGAAGAGAATTTACTGAACTTGTTTTGACAGCCCTGACCGACGATGATCCTACTACTTGGCTGGTATGACTTTGACATTCACTTAGTCGTTCACCTGAGAGGATTCGTCCAGGACAATGGCCGAAGAATTGAGGAGATGCTGTCTCAACAGAATGCAGTCAAGGTATTAGGCGGTTGTATGAGTTTCGATGTGACGAGTTGCAAGGTCGAATACGGCCCTTCGCCCGATCTTCGATTCGGCTGCACGCTGACTGTTGATTTACAAAGAAGGATCCTAGAGGTGAATCAGGAGTCCCAGGCCGAGTGAAAATCTCATTCAGATTGCAGGTGATCGATTTTGATGAGAAGAAGGGACCAACAGGATCGCCTGGCAAGCAGCTTTCAGCCTTCAAGGTTGTTGATGATGAGGAAGATGCTGACGGTGGTGGTGATGGTGGTGGTGGTAATAATGGAGATAATGATGATCCGATGCGAGAATCTTGTTTAGCCAAGTGATGAGTGTACAGCAGTCAAACCTCTCCAACTCCTTGCTGAATCAGAGCGGAGCAGCAGGGGAAGTCTTGCCCGATGGAACAGGTTGTCATTCATGATGTTTCCCTCCCTCCTCATCTTAGCTGCAGACTACGCTTCCTTCCGCCGGGCACTTCTCAAGGAGGGAGTAGAATCATCGCTCACGAATCTCAGCGGCAGGCTCGGCCAAGGTGAAGGCGCTCTTGGCTTTCTTGCTCTTCCTCTCTCTACTAACTTGCTGTTTGCACAGACTACGCGGCGTTTAAGAGAAGCCTGCTAGCTGAAGGTGCTGATTCTTCGCTCCCGTATCGTAATGCTCCCGTGCATACGAGAGGCGTTCCTTTCTCTCCTCATGCGCCATAGCAGGAGGCTACGAAGAGGCTACAGGCAACGGGTATGGCAAGCCAGGAGCTGTCATGTAGAGGCTGATGTTGGCACGGGAGTTTTTCCTAGAGCACTGAAATTAAGAATAGACTTGAACCTTGATGCTTCTCTGCAGTGCACTGCGTGTTGAGGAAAGAGCGATTTGCAACGACTCCTTGTCAAACAATAACTTTTACTTACGCAAGTTGTCAGGTGATTTTCCCATAAGCAGATCACAGAACCCCTAAAGATCCTCGTGTCCTCCATCCCATACTTGTTTGAGCAGATTGTTGACAACGCTCAACGTAACATTCAAGTGAAGCTTGTTAGTTTGTATCAGGTAGCAGCTCGGAATGATCATCGTCACTCCTCTCACTTCACCTGCACATGTTTGTGCAGCTCGTTCTGCAAGTGAGTCGCAATGCACATTCTCTCTCGGAGCAGACGGTTGACCTCCTGGATGTTGTCCGACGTCAGAGGATTTTCCCCTCCTTTCTCCAGCTTGTCAAGCATCACAACCTCTTGCTCTATCAGTGCCATGCTCTTTTCGATCTGCTCCCTGAAGCTGTTTACGAAGGATACCGGGTCGAGCTTGCTCTGGCCCTTGGGAGCTTCATGGGTTTCACCATGGTAAACGAAGCCGTCGTCGTCGAGCTCGTCAGTGAAGGAACATTCGTCCATGTCTCCAACCGCCTGCAGCACGTTGTTGTTCTTCATCAGCGATCTTCTCCTCTTGTGATCGGGCTCTTCTTCCTCCATGTCCAGCACTTCCATGTTCTCGTACCTCCCCAGCGTAAGCTGGCTCTGCCGCCTCCTCTGACCCGACAGGTCGTTGGCGCAGGAGATCCGATTCTCGAGGTTCTCCTTCTCCACCGACATGTCCAGGTAGGAGGATCCTTTCTTCGAGGTGGATCGCAGCTTGCTCGTCTGCGAATCCTCGCGCTTCAGCTGTATCTGGCGGGCTGTCAGGCACGATGCGTCCTTGCACCCTCCCTCCCTCACCTGGCTGACGCTCCCCCGAGGAGTCTGGACTGAGCTGGAGGCGGCAGAGGACTTGGAAGTGCTCGAGCTTCCCTTGCCGATGGCCTTCACTCGGTCGGCATAGCGGAGAGTGTTCACTGTCTCCATGGAGGAGGAGGCGGCAGGCGAGATGTTGGCGATCATCACCGTCCTCCCGTTGCCCACAAACGACTCCTTGAGAACCTGCGTGAGCTTGCTGCTACGGAACGGAGTGTAACCAGCAGAGTCTGTCATGGAGCGAATGCACTCCTTGAGCGCGAGCAAGCTCTTGTTGATCTCAGCTCCCTCCATGCGGGTCTTCTTTTCGTTCTCCGCCGTGTCGCTCCCTTTCTCGCTGCCTGCAAGGTCGATGAAGGAGAGCTGCCCGTGCAACTTCCCTCTGTCAGTCCTCAGCGACATCTGAAGGATCGCATGCGAGCGCGACGACTGCTCGTTCATCCCGGTCACGCTGGTGGACCGCAGCTGGCTGCCCTCTGCGATGGCCTGCATCAGGTCCTGGGGGCTCTCAACGGGGATCTCAGTAAGTCCCACGATCTGAACTTTCTTCTTGGCATCCTCGCGCGGGACCAGGCGCTTCTTCTCCGCCGAGAGCAGGTCGTAAACTTCGTCCCCGTAGATTTCCATCATGCTGACGTACACGTTGATGTTCAGCGCGTGTCCGTCGCACATGCGGAAGATGTCGTCTGCTGCCAGCAGGTACAAACCAGGTTGTCCCACCTGCAAGCCGAGGAGATGTCAGTACATGCTACATTTTCTGCGCCTGCAGTACCTCTGGAGCTCCGAGCATGGTGAAAGTTTTCCCACTGCCCGTCTGATCACGTGCGTCACGTCAAGCTCTTAGAGCAGAAGGAAATATATTCCAACCTGTCCAAAGGCAAAGCAAGTTCCAAGACCTCCTTCCATCACGAAGTTCACAAGAGGTTTGGTAGTCGTGTTGTAGAGAGTGAAATTGTCGGATTGTTCGTCGAATGCATGGTCGAAACTGCAAACATTAAACATCAATATTAAAGAAAAACTCGCACGCAAGCTGATTTTTACCTGAACTTGTGGTTTTCTGTGTATTTGGTGAGATCGACCTGATCGGAGGGTAAGCCCCATCAACATCTGCTGCTCGTGACCTTTTGTTTCGGTTCAGCCACTTGGACGATGCAATCATCCACAACACAAACAACATCGACTTCCCCTGGTCGGTTGGTCACACAGCTGCAGACAAGCTTTCACAAGCATTTCACCATCTTTTGCTGGCCTCTTCCGGACGATGCATGTCACACGATCCTTGGCCGGTGCGTTTCCTTCACAGCCAACATTACCCTCACTCATAGCTGGCAGGTCGGGGGGATACCTGCTACACTTGATCTTCTGCTTACACCATTCGTCCTTTTGGTGGCTGGCGATGGCTGTACAGCTAGCAAGGAAGTCAAATCAAGGTTCAGCGAATCTTCTGCACATCTTCACTACCAGCAGATTTCCTCCGAGAGATTCTTGCGCCGATAGACTCGGAGCTGCTTTCTTTCGAGATGGATCGGAGGCTGGAACTGAGAGATCTATCAAGGTTTGATGCTGCTGTGCGAGCAGATGTCGGCCTAGTCCCTGCACGTATATAGTCCTGTCACCTCCAAGGAAACGGAAAACAAGAATCTTACACCTGTCCTGATAGATGGCATCGTCAACTTGTCTTGTTTGGTAGGTGTTTCAACGAAAGTATGAGGTCGCTTGAGTAGGCTTCGAGGAACTTTGTTTGAGTTCTCTTGGATGTGCTGCTGTCTCGATTTGCTTGTCGGGTGTGCTCGAGCGCTTCCACGAGTTACCGAACCAGGACTCTTGGGAGTGAATCTAACAGGGGACCTGTACTCCTCAACTTTGGATGCACAAGGTTTCTTTGTGGGTGTCTGTCTCTTGCCTGTTGCCTGATGAGGAGATGCAGAGGTGTTTGCCCTTGTACAGCTCCGAACTGGACTCGAAGGGCCGTTCTTGCGTGAGACCAGTTTCAAAGACAGCTGGCTTCGAGGCACGTCCCTCGACAGCCAAGGATGAAGAGCGATGAGACTGAGAACTCAACGCAGCTCCTCACCCTCTCGTCCTCAAGGATCGCCTGCAAGAGCCTAGAGGAACCTGTGAACGTGGGAAGTGGTTGCTGGAGGAGTAGGAGGAGCAGGAGGAGCAGGAGCAGGAAGCAGGCAGTATGCCCGACTAGAGAGGGTTGGGTAGTTGTGAGTGAAATGGTAGGGTGGGGTCATATGGTCCGTTAGGGGTAGGGCAGGGGTTGTTTGCATGGGTAAGTTTTGGTAAAATATGGGTGGGGTACTTAATACGGGTCATCAATCAGACCAACGATGAAAATATAGGGGTAGCATTGAACAGTTTGGATAATGTTGGGGTAGGGGGGTACATATTTGTACCAAAAGAAGCTAGATTACAGGGTGTATTGTTGAAAGGGTGGGAAGACAGGGGGTAGTGGTCCAACAATGATACGAGAGTGGGGTACGGCAACCAAATGAGGAGGAGACAAAGGGATCAGGGTGGGGTGGGTATACGTAATTTGAGGTGGTGGGGGTGGAAGAGAATGGCGTTGAGTTTTAAATTTTGATTCTTCCATTCGAAGAAGTTGGCGTAGCAGTAATGAAATTGAAACTTGTGTTTGTAAAATACTTCTTTAATTTGATAATTTCAAGGATTTCTATCAAACAATTTCAGACTACATCGCCAACTGAGCTTAGCATTGAGGCGTGTAAGGTGGACAACGTCTTTTCCAGTAGGGTGGGGGTGGTAGACTAAAGGAATCAGACAAGAGTAGGGGTGGAAGGCCCTCAGTGGGTGGGGTAGGTCGGAACTCCAACTCGGCCAATAGCAGACGGTTGGGTAGTAGTGGCCTTAGGAAGGATGAGGTCCAGCAAAACGGGCCGCGGCCGGCGGCGCCCGGCCCGGCCCGTCACAGTGACTGAGCCTCCGACTCACAGGAGCCTGGTTTGCCACCGGGGCGAGTCATAGTCACGACGGTCACGTTTCCGAGAAGATCCGCTGATCCGAACTTCGGAAGTTTTACCCGGCCGCGTTCACTGAAGGCTTGTTCTCTGATGCCAAAGTAATGCAGGCCGTACCGTGATCTTATCGACCGTCTTAGCTGCAACAAGACAGACAGTTCAAGTTTGCTCAGGACTCCGAGTTTGCTAGGATGAGTGACGGCCCGGGCTAGGAAGGCCTCCTCTTCGCAGGCTCACGTACTCAGAACTTCAAGGCTACGTTGCCGCGGCGGCGGTAACGCCGGTCACCGGGCACTGTCACATGGCCCCGCCGCCAATGAACGGCGGTCACCGTCCGACGATCGGGCCCGGCGGCGGCCCCCGCCGACTGGCAACTTGAAGTTGCTGATGGAAAATTGCCAGTACTTCGGCGGCCGCCGGCGCCGGGACTCCAGCCTGACAGTGACCGGCCGGCGGCTGAGGTCGGATCGGCCCGTGACTCCGGGACGATTCACACTGAGCCTTGTGACACTGACCGTACAGCGGCCTGACGGTACGATCAGCGGCCGCAATCTCAGAGTCGCCGATGAACTTGTCGGCGAATCATCCGATCGTGCCGCTGCCCATCTGGGAGTCATGGCGGCAGCTGAGCCCAGGCTCCCGGCAGACTTGTCGGAATGGCATCATGGCAGCCTTCATCAACCGTCACTGCCGCATGATCGGCGGACTCGGGAGCGGCGGAGCGGCCGGGCTGAGCTGAACGTGACCGCACTACCGGCTGTGAGCAGTCACGCGGCAAGCCGCGGGGAAGATCCAGACATGCAGGGAACTGACTGAGCAAGCCTGGGACTGACAAGTGGAGGATAGTGCGCAACAGCATGGATGGATGGATAGAGGGAGGGAGGGAGGGAGGGAGGGAGGGAGGGAGGGAGGGAGGGAGGGTGGGAGGGCATCAGGACCCAGTTGGACTGGGTAACGACAAGACGAGAGGGAAAGCATTTGAGAGCAGAAGAGGCGAGCCGATGCTCACCATGTCATTACAGAGCATGGCATGATTGCCATGACAGAGATGAGTGGCGACGAAAGAAAAGAGGGGCACAAACAAGTGTACAACAGGTTTAATTGGTAGCAGTCATGCTTACTGCTTGTCTTCCTCGCTCTCATCCTCGCTCTCGATCTCGATCGCCTCGTCGAGAGGAAAAGAATGTGATTGACCTTCCATGAAGTCAAACTTGACATTCTTGAGCTTCATTTCCTCAATGTTCATCTCCTTGGGCTCCAAGACAACCTCTTCTGCAGCTATTGATTGGATTTCCCTGATTGACGACTTTGAGTTTTCATCCAACCTACGGACTATCCGATCTCTGATCGCTCGAGTTTCAGCTCTTGACTTCCTTTGTCTTCTTTTCTTGGCGTTATCTTCGGCTTTTTCCTTCTTCCACTTCCTTGCTACCTGCCTTCCCTGCGTGTTTCCCATGCTCTTGATCGTCTTATCCCTAGTGGTCGATGTGAGACGAGCTGATCGGATGTCATCGGAGTCTATCAGCACTCCTCGTGCGATCATCGTCTTTCTCAGCTGGTTCCACTGCTTCTCGATGTACCCGTAACCCACTCTCTTGTCGCACGTGATCATCACTGTCATGAGTTTTGACAAGGTTGTATCCAGTCGAAACAAGACGTCGATGGTCTTTTGCTTGAAGATGAACCTTCTGCTCTCTTGCCATTCATACTCTTTCATGTTGCTCTTTGCTTCTATCTGGTGGTCCACTTGCCGCATAGAGCTTTTAAGCATCACCTTGCCCTTGAGGTATCGAACTAGAGCCTCTTGACTGATCGGCACGTTAGCTTCTACTCGATAAGCTGTCCTGCTTGCCTTGACGTCTTGAAATCCGACCCTCCATCCCTTCAACCCGTTCGCAAACCTTCTCTTGAAGTACTTGAAATAGTGGAAACTTATTGAATTCACCGTCAAGGCCACAAGCAGGGACGCTATCACAAAGGCTGCCCCGAAGCCGAAAGGATATTCATTCAGCTTCAACTGGACGGGATTGATCCAGGGACAGTCCTCCGAGTACGTCTGGTTAGGAGGGTCGATGAAGGTGTACTGCACTGATCCTGCCACAAGGTTTGTGAAATTTTTCGCCATTGGCACAACCTTGCAATACGATGACCCAATTCGAAACTTGCTTGCAAGTTTGCTAAACAGTATGACAACGAATAACAATTTCACTGCCCACATGACATTGGCGTTGTTGAAGAATGTCACAGAGTTGATTATGATCCTTTCAAAATTGGATGAAGAGCTCTTCACGTGTTTGACAAGTCTATTTCGGTTGACTGATGTTATCCTCCTTTCAATAAAACGGATCTTCTTGATGGCCTCTTCGAAGGAATTCCTGAGAGCAATTAGGCGAGCATTGAGTATTCTCTGAGTTTTGCGACATTTCAAGACTGCGAGCAACTTGTATCCGATGTCATTGCGAGGTTCTGGTGGCATGGCGGCCTCCTTGATGGAATCTGAGATGTGCTTAAGCACGAGATCCAACTTGTGCAGTTCCTTGAACGAGTGCGTCATCACAAACTGTATCCTCGCGACATTATAAGGGTTGGATTCAAGCTCCTGCAGCAGCCTCAGGCCTTCGTCGATAAGAGAATTCAAGTGGTTGAAGCATTCGAACAATACTCCTGTTATGAGCTGTAAGGATTGCAGACTACAGTAAGGCACAAGAAACGAGTCATACTCGTGGGCCTGTTCCCCAACAAGGAGAATTCCAGTGCTGCCAACGAAAAGAAAATGTTGCTTGGCAAGGTCATGCCCAGAGCGTACGCTGCCGATCAATTGTGCGATTTCATTTTCATGGTCTCCTCCGTCCATGTATTGAGAAAATGAGAGGAAGAGGGGGTCTATCTTTTGTGCCAAGAAGCAGTTGTACTTGGGCCGAAGGTGAAGACTTTGTTGAAAGAGTGAGAACAGGAGGTCCTTCTGATTCTCAGTCAAGATGCTCTCAATGATTGTGGAAGAATCTTGCATGATGTCTACAATGGTTCTGCTCAAGAGATCAATGGAAATGTCATCTTTCATCCGTGTCATGATCGATTCAATTTCCAACCCAAACAGAATGTGTCCTCGTGCAGACACATGGATACCGAAGAACTCGACTTGCACGATCCCTTCTTCTTCAGGGTACTTGATTTCAGCCTCAACGTTTAAGAATTTCTGTTCAGAGAAATCCAGGATCTTCACATCTGTGAGACCAGTGTCTGTTGACATGTTATTCCCTGTGAAATCTGTAAGCTTCTGAGAGCTAAATCGAGCAAATTGGCATCTATCTTTAACACCAATGTTGGTTGAGATGTAAGTCAAGGAGTTTTCTCCGAAAGGAATCCATTCTTGCAAAGTGATGCGCACGTTTCCCAAGCTGATTGCTTCCATCAAGTCTGCATCCATGATATTAGTCTTGCCTCTGAAAGCTTCCACGGCACGATTCAGATTCGATGTCAAGGGTTCTTTGCTTCGTCTCAGATAATTGGGAATAAATGGACTTGAGACGTAGGATACATCTTCAATGTCGGTGATGGCAGAATATCTGGAAAATCCAGTCTTCAAGGAATTAAGTGCAAATTTGCCAACTTCAGCTCTCCATTCAATTTGTAACTTGTCTTTGAAGCTGTTCTGTTTATCAGGCACGTAGACGACATGTTTAAGCTCATCAAAAAGCGATGCTGGAACATTTTTGAGCATCCGTATTCCTATGGGCGAAACCTGAAAACAGCTCGAGGGCTTATGGTCCTCAGTATACATCTTCAGAACGCGGATGACATTGTTCTCCTGCAAGTCATCCAACGCAGATTGAGCTTCCTGGCTCAGGTTCAACCATATCCGCTTACTAGTCCCTCGATGCGACACATACGTTAAAACAGGAGCATAGTCGAAATCAAGCACCCCAGACGATATGCATTCAAAGATGAGCACTTGAAGTGGTGTCGATCGAATCCAACTCTCAGGCTCTGCAGGGTGAAGCGAGCACTTGCCGTAAAATGAGATGAGTGCGCACAACAAAACATGATCTGAGGACCAAGTAAAATTGAAATCTTCTCCCGTTATGTCAGCAAGACGGTTTCCACGATCACGACCAGGTTCTTCATCCTGCGACTCCTCATCACTGGCGCTACTTTCGCTCAGCTCCTCATCTTGTGTTTTGTTCATCGTAGGCTCTGACTGCAGCTTTCACTCCATTCCATAGAACCTGTATGGTTCTGTTTGAAAGCTCTGTCGCACTTCACATGAACATCTTGTGGTGTTCCTGTCGTTGTTTCGCTTACACGTCTCGACTACCTATCCACTCTCAACACCTTGGTGGTAAGCACCATCATGTATATGCATCCCACGTTGGCCGGGCTGGCCCTCATTCCACAGTAGGCCCGCCTGGTTTTGATGGGTTTGTGTAACGGTCAGCCTGTAACTCCTTTCAACCGTCCCAAACGACTCGATGATCCGATCGGACGGGCCGACGCCCCGGCAGTCCGAAGTCCCGGGGAAGTGACTACATCATGCTGACCGTGACTCTGAGCGAGACGTAAGTCAGTTACAACATAATGACCCTAACAGGCTGAAAATGTAGCTCATCCAATTTCAAAATTTAGAGAAAAAAACTACTAATTCAATCTACCGGGCGTGAAAAAGGACTTGCCCATAAAGGGATGAGGGGCAGTACTACCGGTTTATGACGAAACACTGGTAATAAATCCAGTACCAACTTGATCACATTCAGTACCAGAAGTTGAAGAAAAAGTACCGTTGCAGTACATAAGGTCGGAGCTGATCTGAGAACTTATAAGCTTGATTACCACGAAGTTTGGCAGGTAAGACGATTATACCAAGAAAATGTAATTTTACAATACAAATTTTGTGAACTTTCAAATAAATATGGTACTGACAACATGGTACGAGGGACGATGTACCACATCTTGTAACGTTCTCTTTGCATGTGGGGGGTGGAGAGGCTGATCAAGGCATTTCTACCCTTTGGACACGGGTAGGGTGATAGCCTAAAACGAAACACGCTACTAATTGGGGGTAGGGGTATATAAGAGAGACTCTCTAAGATCTAAAATGCTTTGTTTGCGATAAGGCAGTACATTTACTAAGTGGATCTATAATTGAAAACACTCTATATTGAGTGGGGTACACAATATGCGCCTCCGTTATTGCTTCTCTTTCCCTGGGGTAGGGTACATTCAACAAGGGTGGTAGGAATGAGCGACCAATTGGAAATAGGTGGGGTAGGTCTGAGACTTGGGCGTGACTCCACGCGTCTCTCAGGGGGCGGCACTCGTCTAACCCCATAGAGGGGGTGGTATCTGAATATATTACTTGTCTTCCATGACTAATATTATATATTTCACTTGAAGGTACAGATGGAAGTACAGATAACACGGTATGGGGAGAGGGTGGGTAAAAGGGGAAGTTCACCGGTAGTGACGGTAGGTACTACTGGGGGTTCTTCTAGTATCCTCCCAGGGTCTGGCCGCCGCAACCCCTCCCGCGCCGCCATGAGCTACCCATACGCTTCCTATGCCGCGCCTGCCGGCCTTCCCATCTCGGGAACCCCAGCTCCTTACCCTGTCATGTCGCAAGTTCCTATGGGCATGCCTACCTTCCCGGTGAGAATTGTGATGAAATACGATTTTCTCTGCTTCCTTGTCGTGATATGCATATTTCAAATCTCCCTCTCCGCCTCTCCCTCCGCTTCCCCCCCTTCTCCCTTCCTCCCTCTTCCTGCGCTCAGAAATTTGTTTCGAAATCGTTGAGTTCAGTCTCTCTGCACGATCTACTGCTCTTTTAAAGTGGATGTATCGTTCATTCCAAACCTTTTATCTCACCATTGAGCTGAATTGTTCTGTTCGCAGGAGCAAACTGCATACATGCCCCAGCAGTATGTCATGCCCCAGCAGTATGACATGCAGCCGATGCCCCAGCCCCAGCAGATGATGCCCCAGCAGATGATGCCTATGGGCCAGCCCCAGCCCCAGCAGGCCCCTGCACGGGCTGCGCCAGCGCCAGCAGGCAAGAAGAACGATGATCCCGAGCTCAATGCTCCTCCTGGCTTCAAGTTTGCTGGATATGCTCCAGTCCCCAAGCCTGGTCAGAAGAGCGAGCTTGAGAACACCCCGGGGTAAAGATTGTTGTACTAAGTTTGATTGTTTGAGCTAATTACGAAACTGCAGATGGGAGTACGTCGATGGCAAGTGGCTCTTCACCGGCAAGACTCAGCCCCAGCCTCCTATTGTTCAGCCTGCTCCTGCTCCCATGCCCATGCCGGTGTACCAGCAGCCCGTGCAGTACGTTACCACCTCTGCTGCTCCTGTCTCCTATGTTGTCCCAGAGCAGCAGGTCGGATATGAGCAGATGTACTCTGCCCAACCCATGATGATGAGCATGGCTCCCCCGGCAACCTACACCCAAACGCCTTACTACACTGTGAGTGATACATTTGTCTGATAGATACGTTGACAATGCTTTCAGGGTTATTAAGGTGAATACTGCAAGCGATTTATTGAAGGTTGTAAATTTATAAACGATCTGTGAGGTTCACAAGTGTTTTGCTCCACTGCCATCCCATCTTCGCTGAGAACCCTTGCAATCATCATGTGAAATCAAATCCAGCTCATGAGGTAGTAATCAGAGAAGGTGGCAGGTAATGTGTGTTTCCAAGGGTTCTTAACGACACTGAACCAGACGGATGAATGGCAATCATCTGCCGCAGCACACGTCATGTAATTGTAACGTTGTTCATCACCTCTACCGTAATCGAACAATGCGGCAGACTCATCCGCAGCCATGCCTGACTCCAAATCATTCGTGTCACCACACGTCCAAAGATCACCTCAGTTGGAATTTGAAGGGCTTTGCATACAAAGTAGCGAATGACGTTGGCATGGCACACAACAACCTCATAGGAATGGTGCTCCTGGAAGCCCGTCAAACCTTGCAACTCTAACAGCCGAGGTGCTCGAGGGACCTGTTCTACCGGAGCCCTGTAAAAGATTTGGTTGAAGGCCTTGTCAATTCGAGCTCCATCCGCCTCGACCTGCAGATGCCCATTGAGCCCAAGAGCGAGTCATTCGCCATTGTGCTGTAGAAAACCTACCGTAGACTTCTGGAACAATCCAGAAGAGGAAGGTGGTATCGGCTGGCAGGGGCGACCCTCTCTCAGCTCCTTCATCGTTGTCAAGGGAATATCCTTGGGCAGCTTCTCCAACAGAATTTCCATGGTTTGTTTCGCTCTGGTCATATCACTCACTGTAAGTGAGGTTGGTTTGAACGTATCTATGATTTTCTGAGCTAGGATTCGAGCCTGCTGCCTGCCCTTCAATGTCAAAACTGCATTGATATCCTTCGATTCGTTGTCCTTGTATTGACCATGACTGCAAAGAATGTCAACAATGATGTCATAGTTGTGTTTGATTTCATTACCGAACAAGAATGATGTATCGAATTGCCTTTGGTTTCTGCTGCCCTTCCTTCGGATGCCTACAGGGAGTGAGACAACGATCTCATATTGAAACATCGACTACCTCCCATCCCAGTTCCTGTTGTACTTTTGGAGATTGCTTATGTCGACAAGCTCATTTTCTATGCAACAATTAGACGATTTCGAAATCAGACGGCGACAATAGTGCACAAAAAATCGCAAGTTTTGCTTGCTCAAGTAGCCGATTCACCAAATTGAGGAAGGTTCGAAAGAGGAAATCTTACCTGCTTTTGGCGTTGTCTTTTGCTCACATGCCGCTTTTAGATTGTTTACACTGTATTGGAATCCAGCAGCTCCTGAGAAGGTTGAGTGAGCTATAACTTTAACACTGCAATGCTCGATACCTATCATCGCAGCGGTGCAGCCTAATACAAAACGCTTGGCATTCCTTCTGCACGAGCAACATGTCAAGCATTGAAAGCTTGATTGCATTCTGAATTTCCTTGTTGAGTTGAATGGTTGGCTTCCAAGAGAGGAACTTGCCATCATTCTTGGGAGCATGCGAAGAAAAGGATTCATCATCTCGTTCCGCCCAAAGAGTGATTCGGACACTCAGCCACCTGCAGCCATCAGGGTATGAGGAGCATAATCAGAGGTGAATCATCTCTAATCTTCCTCCTCCAATCTCGTCCATCTTTCTCATTCAGTGTTTCATCTTTTCTGCCCAATCCTACGCCATCTTCAAGTTGCCACTGCATTTATAGGCTGGCACGGCGCTGCTTTTTGTCACCGGCCCCGCCGCCCGGCCCGGATCGTGCCCACATGTCCGCCGGTCACCGTTTCCAGTTCGGAACCGGTGCGCTACTGCCCGGCCAGAGGCTGGGTGACGGAGGCTCCGAGTATTATTTTTTAGTTACTTCAAGGCCAACTTGGCAAGTTGCCAACGATGAAATGCGATGGAGCCTCGTCATCGCGTGGGTTAAAGGGATCGCTTTTCCTAAGTGCGGTGTTAACAAAGGACGATAAAGGTGAGAGGCTCTACCTCCGCTGGATGTTGGAGTCTCGAGCTTTTTGAGACCGCCGGACCACTCCACCTGCCCCCGGGGGCCTTGGCCGCTTGGCCGCACAACTGGAAATCCACCCCACCATACCATTAACCATCCCTTGGTTGTGAAGGGCAGGGGTAGTGGACAGAAACGGCATTCTCGATTTTGAAATTCTTTGCCTCAACGGTCTCTTTTCCCCTGGCAACTCCACCCCCCCCCCCCCCCCCCCCCCCCCCCCCTCTTCCCGCTGCTCTTTTTATAGGGAGGAGCAGCACCGTTGCGTCCAACAAGCTCTCCCAGCTTCGTCCGCACACTTTGTGAAACAAGTCACTTCTCCAAGAAAGATACGATGCCAGCAACCAGCAGAGCCCGCAAGAGCGCCAACGTTGTGACCGAGCAGGTCGAGCAAGTCGAGCAGGTCAAGGAGATCGTGGCAAAGAAGACCACCAAGGCTCCCAAGACTGCTCTTGCCAACGTCACTAACGTCAAGGAGCAGAAGGAGGAAATCAAGGAGCAGAAGCCCAAGGCTGGCAAGGGCAAGAAGGAGGCTGAGAAGGCTCCGAAGGAGGAGGCACCCAAGCAGCCAGAGAAGGAGGCTCCCAAGGCTACTGACAACAACAAGCCCATGTCCATCGAGGTGACAAAGGATGGTCTTGTCTACCACTACAATGGCGGAACCTTCTTCTACCCTGGAAATTTCACCGTCTCCGCTCCAGCTGCTGCTCAAGAAATCATCGACAACGAGCCCGCGCATGAAGTGAAGCAGGAGGAAGTTCCAGAGCTTGAGACCCTGATGGCTTCATCAAAGCTTGCGGCTGAGCCCCAGGAAGAGGCAAAGGGAAAGAAGGGAAAGAAGAAGGGCCCAAAGAACTGAACATGAGTGCGTGTGCAAAAGCTTGACTGACACGAGATAAAAATTACCCCACTTACAATGTATTTGTAACTTATAATACAATCAATCGAATCAAAAAATATTCAATCGGAAGTTGACGTTGATTCCCAATCCTCGACCTGTCATTGCGTCTTTAACAGATACCACTCTTTGACAAACATCACATACAGATGATTATAGTCGCATAAGAAACTGTTAGGAGCATCCAAACATTTGCGACAGCTTTCACGAAGAAAAGGTTCTGCATGTAAGGTAAGTTGCAATTTCAGCAACTATTGACTCACCGATGTTCCCCTTTTATCTGACAAGGTAGTTTCGATTCCCCATGCCATGCCTGTAACAACACTCACTTAAGAGTTGCTTCTATTGCCTTACTTTGCAGGATCTCGTCAACGTTTCTCCCTTCCCTGCCAAGGACTGCAAGCGAGTCCCGGAAGCTTTTGACTGGCGCAAGGACCTGAGAATGGTCATACAAATCAAATCAAACATGACAGAGCTCTACTATGGTCTCGAGGACGCTGTCTGATAAACATCTACCGGAGGTTCACGAGAGGGCGAGGAAGAGAGAAGTCAGTAGCGTGATGTGGGCGAGGGCAAGGCTTACTCATTGCAGCGGGTCAAGTCGATATCTACAGTCTGCAAGCGAATACTTTGAATCCCATCTGGATGCTTGAATGTCGTCGAAAGTGACCCAGGTCTGTAAACACGTTGATTGCCGATGAGATAATTGAAGGACATCACCTGAACGCTTGAGAACTCATTCCTACAGCCTTCTCCATTACTTCATAGCTTTTCTTCAGGATGTCCTCTTTGTCGTCGACAAGGGCTTTGGGCCAGTGTGAATGTTTTTGAACGTGGGCTTCATAGACCATATTCACCTGAAGGCAGCTGGATGTTGTATTCTTTCGTGAGCGGACACTGCTTGCATAGGAGAACAATCCTATTCATGTCTGGATCTGATATTGCATTAAATCTAAGCCATCATCGTTCGCCGTTCACCTTCGAATTTCACCGAGGCAAGAACGTACAATAGAGACTTCTTGCTGAGAGTAGAAGAGTTGGCATGCGAAACATCTGTCTTTACTATGGTGGTCATCCATCGTTTGGATGTTTCCCTTGCAGCTAAAGACCCTGAATTGTTGAGATATCAAGCTCGATCAGATGCAGTGCAAAGGATAGGAGGAGAAACTACCCGTCAACGACAGTTCACTTCTTGAGGCTATCGACTTAGAGCGATTTTGGACAAACCAGAGGCTTCTATTTGCAACTATTCTTTGAGAAAACACATCTAACAGCGACTCAATTAAACAGGCACCAGCACAAGCTCTCACCGTGACAAGAAGAAATCGCGCTGACAAGACGCGATCTCAGCATAAAGCTAGACATGACTCGCAAAGCTTGTGGCTCCTAGCTTCGAAGTTTGATCCCTCTCGTAATCTGATGCACACTTATCAATGACATACCAGCATAATTCCATGATCATGACAAGAATTTGTGGCTGATGCTATTCTTCGTTCGTTTTCACAATCAGGATCAGGGGTGTCACCAATGGAGATACGTTCTTTGCCCCTTCTTTCTGTTCAAGTTACTCTGCATCACGTCCATGCTTCACCTTCATCGCATTCACAACAACACTTCATTCCATGCTGTCACATCTCAGTTGAACTTCTTCTCCTTCTTTCTTCCCCTACGACTCGTCCTCCTCTCGCCCCTACACCTTTCCTCCCGCACTGCATTTTGAGTAGGTATCTTCCGCCCCTAGGGTGTCACTATTGCTGACACTGATGAGATTCAATATAGTTCAATACAATTCTATGCAGGAGATCGCATTTACTATAAATTTCCAATAAAAGTCTTCTTCCTTTCGCATTTCTGAAGACAGCACAATAAACTTTTATACAAGACAATGAACCCGACGGTCGCAACATTGAATGTACTCCGATGGAGGAAATGAACAGCAGGAGGCTGATGGGTTGACCTGACCTTGATCACCTGCCGGTGATGGAACTCAACAGAATCAGAGAGATCAGGCGGGAAGGACATGCAGAGGACATGGAGGTTGTCTGTCAGGAAACCGCGTATTTGCTTGTTATATCCCAGCACTTTGCTCCGACTGGGCGCGGGTAATAAAGCGCAAAAATCAAAAAGTATTTAATATTTCAAGTTAGAACAGCTAGCTCGCTGTGATCTCAGTTGCCACCAGATCAATCGGGTGTAGCAATGGTGAGCAAGTACAGTTTAAATTTGGCACCTTCTAGATACCAACCAAATCCTGGGTTTCACCAGCGTTGGGAGGAGGGGGTGGAGAAGGCTGTGGAAGCTTGTTTTGGATGGTGTTGAGCTGTGCTTGAGCTACGGACTGAAACAAGGGATCAGGCAAATTGGAAAAAAAAAAGAAATGTTCGCTACCAGTTGATTTCGCCAGAAAGCACGTTGATCATCCTCCATCGCTTCGTTCAAATTCGCGAAGCACATGCTGATGAATTTGAGAGCCTCAGCCTGAAAATTGATACAAGAGGAATCAATGTCTGAATCAGAGATTGAATTCGACAGCAGTAGCCTTACCTGCTGTTTGAAAATAGATTCCATCTTCATCTCCATCTGGAGCTCCTGTTGCACTAGTTATCACAGTACCAGAGTTTGCAAGGTTGTATACAGGAGCATAATCATGAAAATCTTCGTAAAAGCCGAAGGATCTTTGCCGCTTGCCAACCCTGTGTATGCAGTATTAGTTTCGCTGATGTCACAACATGCATTTGTTGCCGACCTCTCCCTCAGATCAAACTTTGCCGACGAGAACATTCCAAGAGACTGAGGGTGAGGAGAATGGTCCATGTGCTTGTCCAGAACAACCGCAAGAACGTCCTCGTGCTTTCCAACCCACAGGACCAGAAACATGTACCAGCAACCCTCATCGCTGGTTCCAGGAGCCATACCAGAGCATTTCCAGAAGTTCTCAATTTTGCTGTGTCCACCTTCTTCCCAACGCTTTACGCTGTTGTTGAACTGGCGACGAAGTGCCTTGTACTTTTCCCGCAAGTAATTTGGATCGACCTCCTTGCTTTTCTTCGAAGGCGTAAAAGCCCTGCACCTTGCAAGATGTGGATCATTGGGAAACAAGTGTGGAGGCTGCCAATCCTCGTCGTTAAACTTCTGTGCAGCCATTGCCCAAAACCTAAAAAAGGTAAGTGAGAATTGAACAAGTTATCGTAAAAAGTGAAGCTCACTGTTTGTAGCTCAGCACATTCGACTCCATTGAAGAGCGGTGAGGATTGGACTGCGATTCCATGCTGATAAAGGCAGGCTTAAGCTCCGGATCGATGAGCAAGTGTACAAGTCGCATGCTGTCATTTCGTTTCCAATATACACCACGCTGCTGTGCACTTCCACCGCCGCTGCCTCCAGGACCATCTGACAACGGAGTCAACCTTATGGATGAAATTCGGTTGTAGAAACGGGTAATGTAAGGATTGAACAACAACACACATTGGATCACCGTCATTCAAGAATAACGATTTACCTGCATTCCAGGATGAGCCACCTGAAATTCCTGGCGCTGCGTTGGACGAGTCCCCCATGATCCTGGCAAGAGCTCAATCAAGCTGAAAGAGTGCTTCACCACAGCATGATTTTTTTTGGCTGCTCTAAGGTTATAATAAGTGAAATTTGATGTTGACGCATGGAAACGCAGTTTAGATGAAGCAGGGACAGTGAGAATTCAAACTGTATAAGAGCGCTAGTTTGAATTTTGTTTGACTTACTACTTTGTAATGTGAATAACTGTGCTGATGCCTATAGCTTCTGTATGCTCAGTCTACGGCAGCTCAATCCACCAACCATATTTTGACTTATGCAACCATGCACAAAAGAGCAAATCATGTGGAATATACTTTCAACGTGATCCTACACGCCTTCTCTTGCCGCCTCGCATCGCTGGCCCACACAATCACACAGTTGCCTGGCATTCTGCTTCTCACACAAGCCTCAGCTCTCCATGAAATTTCCTGCATCTCATCCCACCTCTCTCCACTGTTCCAATGAACAGCCTCAGCTTTGTCACCCCCCTTGCCTCTCCGCCCCGCATCGTTCCTGTCTCCCTCCTCTTCCCGCCCTTCCCGCGGTCGATTTCCCCTCTTTCCTGAACCAAATGGCCCTTCCTGATACCCCCACCCCCCTTTATACCAATCTTTACCCCACCTTTTCCCTAATCTCTGCGATTCTGGCCCCAAACTTTATTGAAAATCACGCACCCCCTACCCTATACCTTTGCTCTACCCTACCCATCCCCCCATTCTATTCCCACATCAGCCCCCACCGGTGCCCTACCGTTGACAAACTGTTTATCACCTGCCTGTTGAACCGGAAAGTACCCCTACCTACTAGTAGACACAGCCGTTCTTCACCAGAGTACCCACCCTCCATAATAGGCCCTGCCTCTGTTGACCTACCCGCCCTCATTCTTGTCGAATTCAAATACTACCCCAAGGTCGCCCCCAAAAGACCCCTTGCTCAGGAGGGGTAGGTGTTTCAACAACGCCTTACCTTCAAAGGGGTCCGGCGCGCCTCTCTTGCAACGAAAAACCGTTTAAACTGATCACTCGCGGTTACACAAGACGTAACGGCACCATACCGGGGCCCGGCTGCGGCGCTCCCCGAGGACTCGGAAATATGGAGCGTAATAAATTAATAATGGTGATCATGATGATATATTTGTGTAGTAATATAGGTAACATCCTACGTACAGATATATTTGTTTAAAAAGTATTTGTTTGGTCGGGTTCCCTTGTGTTGCTACAACTGTTGTAAATGAAATGTTGGTACAAATTCAAAAACAATGATTTTAAAAGGCTGGTTCCCGGGGCCGTGCTACCACCTCTCACAGGCACTTGTTGGGCTACTGGACTACTACCCTTGGCTCACCCCAGCCTGTCCTCACCACCCCTCAATCCCTACTGCTATCCACCCGTCCAAATATCATTTCGCTACCGTACCTGTGGTGGTATCCAACCCATCTGATCTTCTTATCCATACCCCTCCCCACCAAATTGCATCCCCCACCCACCAGCCTGCAGTCTTCCCCCCACCCCTACGTCAAGACATTCACAAGAGAACTTAACTTTGACAATACAGACTTCTCATATTCTATAAGTGAGGAAATAGATAAAATAGTCATAGTCTCCACCATACCTGCCTCTCGTTGATTTTTCGACTCAATTCGACCTAAAACATCCCCTCCGATCATTCTACGACCCCCAACTTTTGTATGTTTTACCACCCCTAAGGGTTTCAATTTACCCCCTACCCCTTCTTCCTAGAAAGGTTTTAGGACCAGTACCTACCCATAGATTTCCTAACTCTAACAGCAAAGACAACCCCTCGGACATCAGCAGGTACCCCTACTTCCATTCCCTTCACATTGCGGCAAATGGACCACCCACCCAAATTCCAAAACAAGGTCACGAATTACCTTGTACCACCCCTACCTGACAAATCCCCCCTCCATCACACCCCTCACCCATCTACCCCTGCGGTTATCGGTCCTGGCGAAGCTCCTGCCACCCCCTCGTATCCTATTGTTACCCCGCCACCCCACTAAACCTTGGAGTACCCTTGTCCTCATAACACCCCGCCTCATGATACCCCTGGGCTCATCCACTACCCCGGTCCATCGCTCACCCTACCTCTCTCTAGGTGTAACCAACGATCGACAACCCCACCTACCCCAGATACATTGAGTACCCACCCCTCTTTGCTTCTCTGCCGCCATCGCCGCCTTCCCCGTTGCCATGGCATTTTCTCAGCCGCTGTTGCTATGCTCTGTTTCACAATGCGCTTCCTCCTTCCCATCATTCTCTTACTTACATGATGCATTGTTGTGATATCGGTCCAAAATGATCACCTGCTACCTGACCTTGATAGAATTGGCAACTGGACTGATCATGACCCCTGATTAGCACTCTGTCCTGAGTTAGTGCGCTCAGTTCAGCATAGGAAATGAGTGTCCGAATACAAGCTGCTTCCTTGTATTGTCCGCATAGGTTGAACATTTACAGAATCTCAACTTGACTTGTACAAAGCGAATTTTTATGTTAGAAGAAGTTTGTATTTCTTCGGACGAACTGTACTTCGTCAGCAGATATCCTTGATTAGCTTCTTCCAGCATCTGTTGATATTTGATAGTGAATGAAGTCACATCACTTAGATATGCTGCACATGTTATTTCAAACGACATTTCTAGCTTGTTTACTATAATTGCTTTGCGAAGAAAGGGAATATACATCTTGAATGTCATAACACGTCAATTTACCCATAACAAGTACAATCGCAGCTTTATACAGCATGTATATTTGCATGTACTGTAAAGTCAAAGCTGTGTTTATGGCCCTGTTGACTAGGGTTTGATTGGCTTTGTGGAGCAGATGGATCAGTCGATGCAGTACCAGCAAGAAATGGCTCGCTTACAAGCGCAACGACAACAGCAACAGCGAGACCAGGTTACAAACGAGTGCAAGCAAACGATAGCTATTTTTGACATTTGTTCTTGCCAGGATTTTGGTGAAAGTGACGGTGACAGCGATGATGATGACGATCAACCAGGACAAAAGCGCGCCAGAAAATCCGGTGAGTCTCCTGGGTTTCAGCAACGCTTGTCTTGTTGCTCGTTCCTCTTCAGCTTTATTGAGTGTTTTGACTTCAGGAGAGTTGCCGGACAGGAAGGAAAAGCACAAAGTTGTAGAGCAGAAGCGTCGAGAAAAGGTTTGCTACCAGTGACACCTATCCAATTTGTGAAGTTGATTTCAGACGAAAGAGCTTTTAGCTGATTTGCAAGATTTATTGCCAAACACCGAAGATGCCGGGGCAACGAATCTCACCATGAACACTGTACTCCAATGTGCGATTGACTTCTTGACGCAACGCCAAGGTCTTTGAATTGATCGCTCTTGTTGTTTCGGGTCCCTTACACCTTCAATTAGCGAACGGTGACAGCAAGGACACTGCTGCAGACGACTCGAATGCCAACAATGGTGACTGAATTGACCGATTATTTGCTTTCCAATTCTTATGATCATGCTTACTCAATTACAAGAATATGTGTTGTGGAAACCCCTCACTCTACCGAGCAGGTGGATTGGACATCGATGTTGCTTACAGGTCTGGGTTCATGATGGCATCTATGGGGATCGCCTATGCAGGTCGAGCCTTGTCATTTTGAAATTTCTCTGCTCATGGGCTTGAAGGTGTGGATGGAACAATCCTCGAGGTCAACCCTGCTTTTGCTACGATGCTAGGATACAGGTGAACATTTTCTACCTATTTGATTGTTCGGTTTAATCGTCCACAGTGCGGACCAAAGGCATAAACTCATTGGACGCACTCTATTTTCCCTCACTACGCCACAAGATATGCAGGTACACGAGGTTGGTTGTTTGTGTCCCTTCCAATGGTTCTGCGCAGAACACTCTCAAAGCTGTATCAAGACTGCTCTCTGGCGAACTTACACACACAACGTTGACTGAGCACTGCATTCGTCAAGATGGAAGCTCTGGCTTCTTCTCCGTGGAGATGAATTGTCTGTGGAAGAACAACAAGGTGATTTCTTAGCAACTCACATTCTGGGCGACTGAAAACATCACCGTTCAGGCCCACTGCATCGTTTGTTTCATTCGTCCAGCTGATGAAGGTCCGCAAACTCGCCAATCCATGCCATCCATGGATGCCATGGGAGGATATAATCAGGGCATGAGCGCACAGGGCATGCCTGGCATGCCGATGCAGGTGAAGAATGTGTCCATGTTATGCTGAACTGCTCCTAACCTTGTGCACCAGGGCATCCCCATCTCTGATTCGATGGGTGGCCAGATGTCGCATTTGAATCAAGTGAACATGAACGGGAAACCTTACTAGAGAACAAGCCAGTTCGATGACACGTCTCTTCGCTTCGTCTTCACTTCCTTTTTTGTGCTTGTGTGAGCTGTTTTTGCTATCAGTAAATCGTCCATGAATCTACTGGTCCCATGTATACGATTCACTTCCTTGAGCGCAGCATGTCCTTCACCTGACATGCGTTCCTCCTCCTCTCCTTTCTCCCTTGACTCCCCCTGTGCACCAAGTCAGCTCGGCTCCTGCTTTCCCTGCCCCTCCTCCTCTTTCCCTTGGCCCATTCCCCCACCTTCCTCACCCACCTCGCCCCTCGCCTCCCAACCCTCTTCCTCTCCCGTCAACCCCCCTCCCCTCCCCTCCCCCTCCCCTCTCCTCTCTCCCCTCTCCTCCCCTTCCCTCTCCTTCCCTCCCCCTCCCTCCCCCTCCCTCCCCCTCCCTCCCCCTCCCCTCCTGGTTCTCCCCTGAGATCGCATCTTCCCCCCTTCCTCTTCCCTGCCCGCCCGCAAGATGGGGTTCACCATGATGGTGGACGGGGTGGCGTTTGAGGAGGAGGATGCGAGGCAGAGCTCGTATCTCCTAGGGCTCATGGAGGACGCGGACGCGGATCAACCTCGGGTGATGCATGTCAAGACGCCTCTCGATCAAGCTGCGCTCCTCAACTTGCTCCGCATCCTTCGCGGAGAGGGCGTTGAGGCAGTTTGCCGATCTCTCGGAGGAGAGAATCGGGGAGGGTCGGATGAGGAGAGGGGTGAGAAGGAGGAGCAGGAGGAAGGATCGACGGAAAGTATGCACGGGCTTGTCAGCATGTTGATATCTGCTTCGTTTCTCCACGCTCAGATGGCGGAGGATGCGATTCTAAACCATCTTGCTCGCTACCTCACAGTGAGCCACAGGAGAGCGTCTTGAGATCCTCTGACTGAACATGTGCAGACGTCCTGTCGGTCATCCTGGGAGCTGAGGAGCAGGTGCGGGCTCGGGCATGGGCCCTTGTCAAGACATGTATGCATGAGAAGTTTGCAAGGAGAAGCTCTGAGAGCTGCTGGGCAGGAGGAAGAGGTTGTGCGGAGGATGATCAACAAGTCAGGGCTGCAAGACGTGAGGCTTTTGCCTCCCATGTACCTGCTGACCTCCTGCCGCTGCGTTGCAGGATCATCTCAACGAGTTGCTCAGGGAAGGGAAGGTTGAGCGCGCCATGGGAGAGATGCAGCGATGTTCCGCCGCGCAAGCTGAAGGCAGGAGGGGTGAGGAACATGCAGGCGCATGAGGGAGTGGGAGCGTCGATGGCTGACTTGCCTGCAAGACGGGACGGAAACTTTCCATGGCGCCATCGCCGTTGCTGCGATCGAGAGTCTCTCCTCGTTCAGCCCACTTAGGTGGTGGAGGAGACGAGTGTCAGGCGCTGCTGAAACGAGCTGTCAGGCTGCTGCATGAAGATTTGATCTGCCTGCTGATGGAGAAGGTGGCGGTCATCGTAGTCCCTGACGATGGCCGTGTGGAGGAGGCAGGTGGAGGAGCTTGCGATATCGGGAGGAGGTGACTTGGTCAGTGAGCAAGGTGCGAGACTTCAAGGAAACAGGACAAAGAGTGCGAGTGCGAGGAGGGGAGTATGAGATGGATTGCTGCCTGGCGATCAAAGACAGGTCTGATGGGTTGCAAGTGGCAACTTGTTGACCTTGCGATGCTCAGAGTTGTACTGATGGAGGCCTTCAATGTGAGTTGCTCTGCTCGCAAGCTCCTCGTGCACGAACAAAGGTTGCAGGAGGAGAGAGTATGCGTCAAGAGCAGAGCAAACAGCATCTTCCTTGTCGGAGCATGTGACTGCATCCCTCGGTTGCCCTGCTCCCCCATGACGATTCTCCCCTTCAGCCTCTCAAGGTCTTCTTGGCCCGCAGGAGCGGAGGAATTCGATGCTCGTCCTCGAAAGGATTCACCTGCAGCAGCTGGAAGAATTTCGACCGCCAGGTCAAGAGCATGCAGCATCCTGCTGCTGATGTGAAGTCTACCTGCTCATCGTCGTTCCCTCAGAGAGTGAGGAGGTTGAGGCGCTCGGGTACTGGGAGGGTGGACCAGTCGCTGTTCGGGTCGAAGAGGGAGAAGTAAGCGCTTGCTCTTTGGTTCTCAGTGTGAACAATGCTCCTGTGCCAGCTCGTCATGCATGCTTGCTCGATCTCCAGCGATTTTGGAAGCGCTGTCATCGCAGAGGGGGAGAAGCCTGGGACTCTTCCATACTTGGTGCGTGTGGACGAGGGAGGAGCATGAGGAGGTTGTGGATATGCATCAAGCTGGAAGCAGAGGAAGGATGGGGGAGTGACGAGCGATGGCAGGTCGACGAGTCCAACGAGTTTGCAGGACAGCTGCTACCGTACACTGAGGAGAATTTCCTCACTCCCTGCTGTACCTTTATATCCTTCACGACTACTTCTTGAGTGCCTCCTACCAGCATCCTCGAGGAGAGCGCATGCTCGTTTGCACAGAGTTCACCTGGGGCCCTGCAGGTCCTCTCGTGGGCGTGTGCTGGAGCTGACGGTCTCTGACAGAGGAAGCAACGGCTGCGGGGCAGTAGCGAGCATGAGGTGGCCTTTGTAGAGTGGAAAGCGAGCTCACGTCGTGCAGGGGGCGCGTGCTCCTGGACTCCTGCAGGATCGAAGAGATCGGGTTGGATGGAGCGGTGGGAGAGCTTCCCTCCTCTCACCCGCTGACGGCTTCCAGGTCGCCTCGGTAGGAGGACAGCTCGACGTCATCGACAGCTTCATCTGCTCCTGCGGCGAGAGCGGCATCGTCGCCAGCGGTCCTTGTGGTGACTTGCACCGACCTGAGGTGACGGGAGGACGCAGGGGTGTCGACCTACGAGCACGAGAAAGCAAAGGTGGAGCGATCGATGGCACGAGCAACCGACTGCAGCATCCAGCACTGCAAGGAGGAGGCTCTGTGGGCGTGTGAGAGCGCGTTGCTGCTTCACAGGCAGCCATGCTTGTCCCCCTACCTCACTGACTGTGTGGACAGCAACTGCAAGGTCACAGAGTGTGAAGGGGATGCGAGGGAGGTGACGGGAGGAAAGATCAGATCAGAGAGAGTTCGCGATGCAATCACAGGAGTTTTCTTGACCCAACAAGAGAAAAGGACAACCTGACGGCCAGTCCTATCATATCTGCAGAGCAATCTTCAAGACAAACTACTTCTCACTCACACAAGCACACACATCTTACTCCTCCTTGGGTCTGACTGTCTCCTCCTCCTCCTCCTCCTCCTCCTCCTCCTCCTCCGAGTGAGGTTTGGAGAGATTATCCTGCCCGAACACAGTCCCTTCCTTTGTCTCTGCCGTGCTTCCTTCCTTCCCCTCCGACGAGTGGTCCGCGTACTTGCTCTCGAAGCTCTTGCTGAACACGTCGATGTAGTAGTTCGCTCCGTTCCAAACGCTCGCGGCAAAGATGAAGATGATGAGGGCAGAGTGCAGGAAGAAGGACTGGTAGACGAGACCTGTAGGCAGGAAGCACAAGATGGTGTAGAGCAGCTGCATGGCAACAAAGACAACTTTGGTCTTGAAGTTGTGATGATCGAAACTCTCTTTGTCGTCCATGATCCTCATCGACCGGCAGAGTTTCAGTGCGATCTTGTTGGGAGCGCTCCTCTTGTCCTGTGCCAGCCACCGCAGCGACGTCTTGATCGTGGGATCGTCGTCTAGTTTCTTGCGGTCAATCACTTCAGTCTGCACCAGATAAAATATCTGCCACAGCATGTAAAACTTGAGCGGGGACATCAGCCAGCCATCCAGCGTCATCGGCTGTTTCGCTGCCTCGTCCCCGTGCCACCGCTCACACCAGGTGAAGAGGGAGGGAAACAGGTGGATGTACACTGACGTCACCTTGTCGACGCTGTGAAATACGAACGAGTTCCTCCAGGCAAGGATCGCGATCAGCAGCGGCCCGTTGGCGCTGATGAAGAGCGTCTGCCAGAGGATGGGAGAGCGAGACCAGGGCCCCGCGATGACGAGGAAGCAGAGGCCGTTGACCCAGTAGCAGAAGTCAATGAGGAAGTACTGCCACTTGACCTGGCGGTACATCACCCACCGCATCACGAGCAGGGGGCTCATGATCATGGCGTAGTACCACCGGAACGATTCCGGCCGGCACAGCATAACGTACTCGGTGAGGGTGATGCCGAGGACGCCGAAGGTGAAGCTGTACTTGTCAAGAGTCCGGATCACGCGGGGGACCTTGACGTAGTCTCTCACTCGTGTGTCAGTCCGTCCCGTCAACATGCGGCGAGTGAGCTTGAGAGATCGGATCCTTGCCTCGTCTCCAGCTCTGATCGCAGCAGCGCTGGTTCGCTTCAGGACTGGGTTGTCCTTTAGGTTCGACAAGATGCGGTTCCGTTTCGTTTCCGTTCCGCTCGCTCGAGACTTGTCCCCACGAAACATTCCCGAGCCGGAGAATCTCGCGTAAGCACCATGCATCTTCTCGTCAAGTGACCGATGAGCATTCTTTGTCAATGAGTTCAGTTTCGTGAGCAGCTGGAACAGTCTCTGCCTGCTGCTCGCAAGCTCGTGGAACAGAGCGTGTCGTTTCAACGCCCTTGCCGAAGCTTCACTGCCTCGATCAGACGTTCCATTGGTTTGAGAGGCTCCTGCCTCCTGCTTGGACGGCTCACCCGACCCGTCAGACGTGGATGGCAGGATGTCTCCATTATCGGACTGTGAAGAATCCTTTGTCAACGCGCCATCTTCCTTGGACTTTAGCGCTACTTCGACAGCATCGAGCACATCCCGCACCTGAGCTCTGTCAGTGGATGAACAGCAAGTATGCGATCTAGCAGGATACCCGAGTCAAAGCTTCGTGCTCATATGAATCCGACTGCGGACCATCTTGCAACGAATGCAATTCACCTGGATCTGATTCCATGGCAGCTTTCTAGGCACCTGGATGGAATGTTAGCTTCTGGTAGACCTTTGATGAAGAAATTTCATATTCCCTTTCCCGATCTTTTCTGAACTACAACAATGGACAAGCATGCACATGACACGTCACAACCCCCCAACTCTTCGAGGCTCTATCCCCACACCCCTTTCGCAAAATTTCAAATCCTTCACATTGAATCTCATTCACATTCGCACTCTGACTATTCTGTTTTGTCTTCGCTTCCGCCTTGCTCCTTGTCCTTCTCTCGTCGCTTTTTTACGCGGGTTAACAACCATCTTCGCACATCTTTCTGTTCGCTCCCCCTACCTCCATGATTGTTTTTACTGCACATACTTTGAATCGCTACAACACCACATGATCCTCCCTCCCTCCTACCTGAATCCCATATCTTTCTTGCATCTACCTTCTGCTACTCTTTTCGTTCTCAACATTCATATCATGACAACTTCAACGCTTACCAATCATCTGTCAGACATCCCATCCCTCATCCTCTGTAGCATCTCCTCTCCTCTTGTGTCCTTCCTTCAATCTCCTCTCCTCTGCCTTCCGTTTCCCTCCTCGCCCTCTCGACTGCCGCGTTTCTGCTCTACTTCTTCCGCTGGTTCCATTTACACCCTTTCCTGGGGAATAGATGCCTACCCTACCCTTTAGTCCACATCTACTACCCACCATACAATCTATCATTTAACCCTACCCTCTAATAAATGATTTTAATGTAGTGACAGGGGGATCGAATGAAACTTTTGCACACCCCTACCTACTTCAATGTGTACCCTACCCCTCCTTTGAGAGAAGCAAAGGCAAGTTTGTTCTTGCTCCTTTCCTGCCTCATCCCTTCCTCACCCCAGTCTGGCTGCTCTCACTCCCCTCCCCTCTTCCTCCTCATCTTCCTCCTTGAGAACTTGCACTCCTACTCTTCCTCACACTTGCTCTCGTCCTACTGGTCCTGTCACCGCATAGTTCTCTTTCGCTTCGTGTTTATCGTGGTCATGAATTCGACATAGGACCATACAGCTATGTCATGCCAGGTGTGATTGAAGGGGAGTGGGCATTGGCACGTAATGAGATTCTTTGATCAATAAATTTCAAGGCTCCTCTGCTCTCAGCCTGTGGGGCCGCCAGTAGGTTCCATTCAGCTCCATGAGAAACAAGCCAAGTTTGTCTTACCTACAGACCCTCAGATGCTGCCGCGTTGGATTTCTTCTCCTGCAGGATCAGCCCATCAGGGCCAGAGCCGAGTCGTGAGACCTCTAAGAGCACCTGGAGAAGCTCCGCTTGTCTCCTCTGCGCTGCCGAGTTGTCTTCTTGTTGCCTGCCATGATCTTAATCGTGACTCAAACCAAGGAGCTCCGTCACTTCTTGGTGTAGAGCTTCGCCGCTCGCTTCCTCATCCCCTTCACGCGCTGGTTCAGCATAGAGTCAGGGCCGGCATCAGCGTGCGGGGAGCGAACGATACGTTAGTGATCGAGTCCATGTCCTTCCTCATGTCTTCTAACTTCTTAGTGTACAAGGGCACCTGGTGAACAATGAGAAACGAGAGCAACACCATCAGCAGAGAGCCTCACATGAGCCAAAGCTTGCGCGACTTCCGCCATGTTCGGCAGCGTCATCACTTTCCTGCATGTGGATTGAGGAGAGAAGAGAACCGGGGCCCATTGGCCACCTATCTTCTTGCGCGAGCCTCTCAATCAACGCAGTCTGTGATGAAAGTGACTTCATCGGACGCCTTCCCAGCTCCCCCTCAACTTCATCACCTGTGCATTCTGAAGTGCATGCAGCTTTTCTGCTATTTTCTTGATATCCTCCTCATTCAAACCAATCTGAGACTCGTCAGCTCTGGACATAACATCCTTGATACTTCACCAATCCCTCCGACATGCTCTTGATCATTTCCTGCACCATCGCCATCAACCAAGACTTCCACAAATTCGCAGTACCGATGGAACGTTGAAGAGCTTGTTCGCCTCTTCTTCCAAAGCTTTCATCTCGGCAATTCTTGACTGATTCGTTGGTGAGAAAAATTCCTCAAGGACACACACGAGCAGAGAAAAGAGGAATAAAGGAAAAACAAAAGCAAAGGGGGGAGGAGAGACATCTGTGACCCGTTCAATGCACAAACCTGTTGCTCCTTCGCCCTCTGAGCAGCTCTCTCTTCTGCAAGCCTCTGCAAGTTGGTGCAGCTTCAGTCTCACGTAATGGCGGGTGGATCATCTACCTTGGCCTCGGCCTGAAGGCAATGTCAGGTTTGTGTCATTCATCAGGAGCAACAAACATGCTGGTCCGCAGCTGACGCTGCACCTGCTCCAGGCGCTTGCGGAGATGACTCATCGGGTGTGATTTCGTCCTGATGCCGGCTTCAGTGTAATCTCCGCTGTTGAATCATTGTTGCTTTACCGTTGAGTTATCTGTTGTTGTCTTCACGTTTGTCTCTACAAGTGTTCATTGCAAACGTCAAACACACATAGGTTGAAGGTAAGCCACGAGGGGAAAGTGCCAACTGTATGATACAGGGCAAAAGATAGGCAGAGGAACTTGGGTCTAACCTTCCGCTGGAGCTTCCTCCTCTACTTGGGACATTCTTGAGGGGGGATAGACCGTGGAATCTGACGAAAGAAAGTAAATCAAGTATCAAGAATCCGGCATGTTGTCTTGAGGGAATTACAGCGAAAAAAGGCTGATCTCACATAATCTGGGAGGTCAGCCTCAATGGTCTTCCAAAATCGTATCGTCAACTCTATGAGCAAACATCACTCATGCCATAGTTTACATCTGCCTCTTTCTCCTCTATCATCCCCTTTCCCTCCCTCTCCTGCTCCACCGCCGGCCATTTCCGGCAAAAAAATGCCGCTGGCGTGGCATGACAAATCTAGAACTATAACCGTTCTCGAAAATTTGTAACGTGCATACTGTCAAAGCCTGGCACTGCGGCAGGGCTGGGGCCCGGCCGGCCCCCGGGCGGGGGCCGCGCCGAACTTAGCCAGGCTCCTGCTCCGGCTGCACTGGGCCGCTAGTGAACTGAGGCCAGGCTCTCGGTCACGGCACGAAACTGAGGCGTACATTCTTGGCTATCAAACTTCATATACTAGCTACTCAACACATGCCGACGGAGGGATTCTCAAATGTGTAACCGTTGATTCTTCATGGTCTGCCAAGGACTTCATCAGCCGTGCTGTCATCTTCTTAGTCTTGCTGTACGCGTCCTGCACTGACAGTTACCTCTCCTGCTTCCTCCCTCCCTCCGCTCACCATCGCCCCGAGAAGCCGCACGTCTCCTTCCTCCACAAGTTTCCTGCACTTTGCTACCTCATCTTCGCCAAGCACGTCCTGTTGAGGCGCGTCAACTTTGACAAACACGTCGCCGACTTCACCTTGAAGTCTTGGAAAGTATCCGCATCCTCCGCTCCCTTGTGCTTGACCGGCGTCAGATCCTGCTCTGCCTGCAAGACATCCGCAGGCTGCACGAGCTCGCGAGCTCCGTGTCTTCTGTTAAGGGCAAATCGCCCGATCATGCAGAGAAGCTGTATCCCTACGGCAGCGACGGCGCACAGGATGGGAGCGAAGGTAAGCCAGTACTGGAGCGTCGTGTTGTCTGCGACACGGTGAGCTGCGGCAAGCGACCTGGGAGCTTCTCACCTGGAGGTGTGAAGCTTGCTTTGATGTCAACTTTCGTGTTCCCAGACCCGACCAGCCTCCTGGAGTTCTGCACGGACAGAGTCTGCGGGCTCAAGGATCGTCTGGCGGAGGCTCCGGCAGCCTGCAGCTGTTTGTTGGTCAGCGGCAAGAGTTCTGAGAGGCTCAAAACCTGCTCGTAGCACGCGTTCGCTCGAGCTTGTCCAGGATCCATTTGCAGCGATCCGAGCCCCGAGGTGTCGAAGAAGCACTGGACGTAGGTAGAGTTGTGCTTGACCTGAGCAGCCGTCACCATCGAGCTGGAGGCAAGGAAGACGCACCTCAGGAACGAAGGAGCCCTCGTTGAAGGGGAAGTAGACGATCTGATATAAGCCGTAGTACGGGAGACCGGTAGCCGGGTTAGTGGAGGAACCAGATGGTCCGACGGCGTAGCTGATGGTGATACCAACGTTTGTGTCCTGATTCCCTCCCAAGCACGGCAAGGTTGCGTCGTTGCCGATAGTCTGGCACAGCTCGAAGACGATGTCTTCCGAGCCGCTGGGATAGGCTGTGGGGTCTACTCGTATGAAGTTGCCGTACTTGTCTCTGGTCTGCACGTACAAGGTTGAAGTCGCACCGGCAACGACGTTGAGGAGATCTCCGTACACGTAGGTCAGCGCGATCTCAGCTGGAGCGCTGGCGATCTCGAGCATGAAAGGAGATCCAGCTCCGCTCACCCCGGCGAAGGAGATGGAGACCATGTAGCTTCCTGATTGCGTCAAGCGGTAGGTCGTGCCGTAGCTGCCGTCAGCGTTGTCGACGACGTTTCCTGTGTTGGGGGAGGCCGAGGGGTTGAGAGGAGCTTGAGAGACTACATTCCACAGCGTCAGCAGCACGGAGACGGAGTCTCCACCGGGCCTTCGGTTGAGAAACTCGTCTCGAGCAGTGATGATGAAGCTTGACGACGTTCCTGCCGTCGAGATGGTGAGGAAGGTTCCCCGCGCCACAGAAGAGGACGGGGAAGTGACTGCCGGGGACACCACGAGGGTGTATGGGTTTGGATTCGTCTGGCTTGCGCTCGCATCGCCGGCAATGAGGTCCTGGTACTCCTGCCCCCCTTTGCCGACGTAGATGGAGATGGTGTAGGTTCCGGCCTTGACGGGCGAGTATGCGGACTGATAGCTTCCCGAGCCAAGGGAGATGGTGGATGGGGACATGCTGGGGAGGTTGGTCCCTGTGACGTCGATCCTGAATCTAGCTCCATCTGCGCTTCTACCGAAGACGTCCTGCAACAAGACCATCGCAGGTCACTAGCACGCGCTGACCTCCGGCAGGTCTCACCCGACACGACAGCGAGAAGAAGGATTTCGATCCTGCAACCGCAGCCGTGAGGCCATCGCCACTGGCGCGGCAGCTCTTGTAGAAAGGCGTCTTGGTCTGGAACACGAAGAGGTCGCTGCTGTCCTTGGGCACGTCATCGACCACTTGTGTCCCTCCCTGCCCACCAAAGGCGTCAGCACACTTGCAGCTTGAGAGTCACTCGGCTCACGAAGATGTAGATGTAGAGGTTGATGCTGTCGAGCTTGATGCTAGACGCGATGCTGCCTGAAGGCTTGCTGCCCGGAACATCCACCTGAGAACCTTTCAGCATGCCGAGCGACAGGAGCAGGTCAGCGTACCAGCACCCATGTCAGGCTCGTCGTGCACTTGCCTTGTTGGACGCAGGTAGAGTCGAGGTTGGTAAGGTTGAGATACCTGGGCGAGCTTGGAGGTCAGAGAACCCTCGAGGTGCGGAGTCGCTGCGATCAGGTACCATAAGTCGTTGAACGCCGTCGCGTAGGTGGGGAAGTTTCCGTTCATCAGGTCGTACATGCCTGAGCCGACGCATCCTTTGGGGTTGCCGCATCCGAACCCTCCATACACCAGCAGAACCCCGTTGCTGCTCGCTGAGTTGGACATGGTGGTAACGGCAGCATCCCTCCTCGCCTGGGGGCAGGCGCCTCCAGTGTGGCATGAGGTGTAGAGCTTGGCAAAGGTCGCCTGCTTGGAAGAGAAGAAAGTCGTGTGGACGTCGGAGCTGAGGTCCCATGTCGCGGTTCTGTTGGCGAGGTCGGTGGACTCTCCGCCGAACATCATCAGGAGGAGGAACTGGGCAACATGGTCTGAGCCAGGGCCGCGAGAGCTCAAGGGGACTCACCTTTCCCTGCAGGTTCACAGACACGGTCGAGTGTCCATGCAGCGGCCCTGGCAGTGAGCAGCTGGTGGTGCCCGCAGTACAGCCAGTGGGGTTGGAGGAGCCATAGCAGTAGGTGACTGACGAGGGCGGGGAGGTGAAGTTCTGACAGATGCCTCTCATGCACGCGCCTGCACACAGATGAACCAGTCGAGTCAAGGACAAGAGGGCGCGAGCGAGGGCGCTTACCTGACTTGCAGGAGCTCAGCTGGGAAAACTGTGCTGCTCCTCCAATCATGTAGTACTGCCCCAGATAGCTTGTCTTGGACCAGGTGGAGGTCTGCAGGAAAGAGTTGTTTGTGGCGTACGACCGCGTCATGTAAGTCTGCAGACTGTTTTGCCAGGAGGATGAGTCACTCAGACGTGTCATGATCTGGCGGAAGAGATCGCTTCCGGTGACGAAGGTGATGTTCAACCTGCTGTTAGAGAGGACTTGTGCATTCAAGTTGTAGATGTAGCTCATGGACGTGGTTGCTACTGGTGGGTACTGCGGAGAAGGGAAGAAGTTGCTGGAGACGAAGCCGTAGAAGGTGCTGGAGTCGAAGGACGAGGTGACACCATTGAGGATCAGCGAGATCGTGTATCCGTTGTCAATCTTCGCTGTGTCGAGGTACCAGAAGTCTCCCAGCGCTTGTCCGTTCACGTCCACCCCTCCATAGATCAGCCCGGCCTGACTTCCGGATATGAACGCATCGTTGATGATGGTGTGCAGGCAGCGCGCAGGGATGACGCTGTAAGCGCCGCTAGTTTGAAAGATGAGCTTGAACTGAGAG